AGTGGGCAGTGGGACTTGACCAGTCTGACTGCCCCTGCTGCTCCTCCCCATGGAAGCCTTGGGTGGGCCCTGTCGCTCACCTTGTCCCCAGCTTCTGCTCAGGGCATTCTTCCTTCCCTTGGCAAACCAGGCTCTGGCTCAGTAGCCAACTCTGACCTTTCCTTTCCGTCCCCTGAACAATCCAGGCTCACCTTTGGATTTTGCACCTGCTGTTCCCTCCACCTGGAATTCTGGCCTCCTAGATCTTTTCCTGGGCTCCTCTTCATCACTGGGGTCTCCAGTGCCTCCTTGAGGGGCTGCCCTCACCAATGTGTCTCCTCCCTGCTCCATTCCTCCCTCACAGCCGGCGAGTGTCCAGCCCTGGAGAGCAGCACCTGACCACATGCTGCCCAGCTGTGCCCTGGACCTTGGAGCCCAGGCACAGAGGTTCTCAGAGGCCGTTCACTGAGCAGAAGAGCTCGTGGGCTGGCGGCTGGGTTCTGGGTTCTGACTGTGAAGAAGTGCCTCGTTCTTGACTCACCATTCTGTCTCTTGTTCCCAGTTAAGTGTCCTGAAGGAAGCTATTCTCGGGACGAGCAATGCGTTCCCTGTCCTGTTGGATTCTACCAAGAAAGGGCAGGCAGCTCAGCCTGTGTCCCGTGTCCTGGGGGCAGAATGACCATTGCCCCTGGAGCCTTCAGCCAGATGCACTGTAAGTTCTGGGGCCTGCTCTGGGGAGTGGCCGTGCTGTGCAGCAGCGTGCAGCAGAGTGCTTAGCCTGGGCCCGGTGGGCATTTGGGGAGGGCAGTTCTTTGCTCTGGSGACTGTCCTGTGCATGGYAGGCCGTTCAGTAGCATTACTAGATGCCRGCAGCTCCCTTTCCCCAAGTTGTGACAACCAGACCTGACTCTGGCCATTGCCAAGTATCTCCTGAATAGGTGGGTGGGCAGAATCACCTACCACTGAGAAGCACTGGGTACACAGCAGAGCAACAAGGGCCACCTTTGAATGCCTGTCCCCTGCCAGACTCCAGGCCACGTTCCCTGTGCTATCTCACTCAATCCTAGCCTCATCTCTTCCAGGGAAATAGGATTAGCTCAGCTTTGACAGATAAGAGGATTAAGGCTCAGAGAAGTGAAGTCACTGAGCCAGATATGCTCAGCTCCTGCAGCTAGCCTTTGTTCTGTCTGATTCTGAAACTTCTGGTGTTTGTCAGTCAGCCTTATCAGATCAAGAAGTAGAAGACTCTTCCCCCATACCCGTTACCACTGTGCCACACATATCCCTTCTCCCGTATTTGCAGGACCGAAAGTGCCTGTGGTCTCCCCACACCCCATGTGATTCCACCTRACCTACCCCCGGACTGTCTCCTGGGATTGCTGTCTTCCTAGCAGGGACCCATAACTTGCCTAGTTGCATATCTTTTCACGTTAGCCTTAAATTCTACCTTGAGCATTTGTAAAATGACATTTGAACATGAGACAAACCAGTTCTGCTTACAATGAATGATTTCTAGAACTTTAAAAATAAGTGATCCAGAAGGTCAAGTCACTTTCTGAAAGGGGAGCAGTGCTAATAAGACAATTCAGAGGAAATAAAAGTAGRAATCTGCCACTCCTCCAGAGAGGAGTCCTGCCTGGTGACTGTCCCCGACAGCCGGGTGGCACTCTGTGAACACACTGACCCCAGTACCTGAGGTTTGAGACGACTTGGCGTGCTGTCGGCATGCCTGCCACAGGGGCACTTTCTTAAGAGGGGATCACTGTCATGTGCTGATTCTTGCTGATGGAGAGAAATGGGAAGTGGAGGAGRAGACTGAGTCTTGCACCATCAGATCTGATTTAATCACCACTCCCTCCTCCTACTGGCACTGTGACCAAGGTCAGCTCACCTTCCTTCTCTGAACGTCACTCCATCATCTATGACTCGGGGCCAGTGTCTTACTTCAGGCTGCTGTCACAATCCCAGAGGTTGAGTGACTCCAACAGTGAGCGTTTACTGCTGCAGTTCTGGAGTCTGGAGCCTGGGTCTGAGCCGGCTTGACAGGGGGCTTGGTAAGGGCTTCTGTCTGGTCCTGTCCTCCTGTGGCCCTTGCAGGGGGGTGTGCACAGAGGGAAGGAGAGGTCTCCCATCTTCCCCTTTTTATGAGGACATCAGCTCCACCAGAGAGCTCATCCATGCCTGATTACATCCCAGAGGCCCCAGCTCCAAATACCATCGCAGAGAGGGTGAGGACTCTTGAGGGGACAGTGCTTAGTCCCTAGCAAAGCAGAATCCACACCTGCTCTCTAGGGGGCTTCAGTCACACATCTGTGAGGACTGTGGTGGTCAGGATCCGACACCTCCTTGAGTGCAGAGTGRCCTGGAGTGGACTGTTGTCCAGGGTCAGGCTGGGAGTCTCTGTTCAGGTTCTGTGATACCCAGTCCCTTCTCATGGCTCTTCATCTCTATCCTTACCTGTCCTATTGAGTGACCTGCCCTCCATTAGAATSACACTAAAGAGAAGCACAGGACAGGGGGCTGCCGAGTCTCAGATGATGCTCAGCAATTACACGACCGCCCGACTTCTTTTTGGTTAGGATAGTTTTTAGATTCCATTCCCTCTGGACTGCTGAGGTCTGTATTCAGATCCTCCCATGTCTCCTGCCTCAGTGGGCCCAGCAGACCATGTTTGAGGTTATTGATAATCAAGAAGCTCCTCATTTGTTTGTTTATTGATATATTAACTCACAGTTAGCATGTATAATGTGCAAAGTAATCTATTTAAAAAATAACCTTTGTAACCTCTCTCCTCTGAAAAGTCATTACCAATCAGTGTTTAATAATATAACTTGAAGTCTCAAGATATAAAAGCTCAGATATTATCAAGCCCCAGAATGCCATAGGAAGTGACTTTCTCCTACTTCCCAACCATGGAGAAACACATGGAGGAGTTCTCTTTTTATATAATTCATCACAGGTTTCCTGAGCACCTGCTGTTTGTCAGTCATATACTGGGCAAGCATAGCAGATGACATCCGGGTCCCAGGAGTGTAGATTCTGATAGGGAAGGGGAGCGTGTGAATAGATGAGAGTCCTGGTGTGGTTTTTAGGTGAGGTAGGTATTCGGTAGATGCTATTCCTGCAGCTGTGCTGGGTCTTAGACAGTTRGGGGGTAGGGATGAGTGAGGTGGGCAGCTGGAGGAAAGACTTCTGGGAGGAGCCACAGCTTGACCCAGAGACTGAAGTATTCATCAGTGGATTCGACTCAGATGCCTGATCTGGAGGGAGCTTGTATCACATGTTGGACGTTGATCAAAGCACCGGGGAATGTATTGAGCAAAAGCAGATCCAGCCCCAGCTCATGGCCTCTTTCAAATGGGAGGCCAGAAGTCACCAGCCATTCCTATCAAGAGGAATTCAGTGATAAGCAGAGGAGCAGGTCCCCAGGAAAGCGGTTGGAGCAGACTTAACTGGCTTCTGGAGGTGCCTTGGTCTATTTGGGCTGCTATAACGAGACATCATAGACCTGGAGTTTATAGACAATAATATAGTTCCTCGTGGTCCTGGAGACTGTAAGTCCATGATGAAGGCAGATTCAGTGTCAGATGAAGTCTTCATAGACAGTRTCTTCTCTTAGTGCTGTCACAGACAGAGGGGGCAAACAAGCTCCCTTGGGCCTCTTATGTAAGGGCACTAATCCCATTCACAAGGAGTCCACCCTCATGACCTAGTCACCTCTCCAAGCCCCACTTGCTAATATCATCACACTGGAATTAGATTTCAATGTTCATAGACATTTAGATCCTAGTAAGAGGGCTTTTTTAAGAAAATGAGGATTGAGGTATATTYGTCTGATTTTGTTACTATAATGAAATACCTGAGATAGGCTAATGTTATAAAGAAAAGAGGTTTATTTTGGTTCATAGTTGTGGAGGTGCAAAGAATTGAGGCTGCCTCTGATGGTGGCCTTGCTTGCTAAGTCCCAGGGTGATGCATTGCCTCACATGACGAGAGACAGGTTGCTTGTGTGACTATGTCTCTTCTGGTTTCTCTCCCTCTCCTTGCAAAGCCACCAGGATTTCAGCAGTGGCCTAACTATAATGACCTTATTCAATCCTGTTCACTCCCAAGGTCCTACCTCTAAACACCACACTCAGATTAAGATGCCCTCTCGATTCCTCACCCTGGGGTTCAACTTCAGTCTGTGTTTGGGGAGCCAACCGTATKGAAGCCACAGCCTGACGTGGGAGCTGCGAGTGCGAGGGGCTGCASAGGGAAGAGACAGCAGGGCCCGTGCTCAAAGCTGGGCCTGAGCAAAGGGGAGCAGGGGCGGGTGTGGTCAGGACCCAGAGGGGGCAGACGGAGTGCGGGTGTCTGCAGGGCTCGGGATGGGAGGTCCCTGGGGATCTGAAGAGGGGACCTGGGGTCATCCTGGGGTGAGGGTGGGACACTGGAGAGCCTGCAGCCTGAAGGTCTGAGTCACACACATGCCTTGGTCATCTGGTCCTGGCCTGGGGCCTGGGAATGGCAGGAGAGGGCCCAGTCACCCASCATTGACGCTGTGCCCACCGCTCCTTCCAGGTGTCACTGACTGTCAGAGGAATGAGGCGGACCTGCAGTGTGACCAGGAYGGCCAGTACCGAGCCAGCCAGCAGGACAGGGGCAGTGGGAAGGCCTTCTGTGTGGACAGTGAGGGGCGGCGGCTGCCGTGGTCGGAGACGGAGGCCCCGCTGTCGGACCCTCAGTGTCTGGGTAGGTGCTGCCGCTCGGTGTGCCCGGTGGCTGGAGAGGGRTCTCGGGGCACTGGAGAAGGGAGARATGCAGGACAYGCMCTTGTCTCTGACTTTCTATTGGAAAACTTTAACCAGCACAACAGTTGGAAGAACAGTAGGGTAGACAAATGCCCCACACCCAGATCCCAAAACTGTTCATGTTCTGGTCTCTCTCTTTGTGAACCCCCTGAAATGTAACTTTCTGCATCCTGGGACCTCACCCCAGACTCGTCAGCACCTACAGAGCTGGATTTTCATACAAGGCTGCTTGCCRAGGCGCTGTGTCTTGTAGGCAGTCGCCTCCCTGCGTCTGGTAGCATTTCTCCCTCAGTCAGATTTTGTGGAAAAAGTGGGCCAATTCTTGTGAGTAACTTTCTTGCTGGTTGACCCAGAGCAATTTGTTCAACCTCTCTGATCCTCAGTGTCCCATTGGCCTTGTATCTGTTTCCTGAGGCCTTGTGAGGGTCAGTATCATCCTATACTGTCAACAAACACTCCTTGAGCACTTCCAAGAGTCAGGTAGTGTTCCTCAAGGAGATAATAGCRGGAAGGCCTGAGTAAACACACAGAACACCCCACAGGAGAAGGTGAGATGGGAGTCTGCAGCAGGAGGGAGGAGTGTGGCCGCTGGGCCAGGTTCACCCCAGTGGTGCCCTCTGCAGGCTCTGTGGTCTTCGGCACCYTCCTACCCTGGATGGTGCCCTGGTGTGTGCCGCTGGGCCATGCAGGCCCACTTGGTAGGAGTGCTCAGTGCATTAGCACCAACAGGCCCATCAGAGGTGCTGGCCAGGAGGCTCAGGGCAGGGATGCCTGCTTCTCTCACTTGACCAGGAGGTGCCTTTCCTATCCTTAGGACTCAGACCCCTCCCAAAGCCACCTCCCTCCACCTAACCCTGCGGCTTAGCTTCCCTTGCTGCAGGCCTGCTCCTCCATGTCCCCGAGGGAGGGGATCCTGGCAGGTGGGCCTCCTAGGCACCAGGGATCTGTGCTCATCACATTTACCCTCTTGGTAATTCTGAGGGGCAGGTGGTGTCGTCACCAATACTTTAGCCATGGAAACTGAGGCGAGGAGTGTTGAAGTGCCTGTCCCCAGGCCCTAGTTAGGCTGCGACTGGTCCAGAGACGCACTGGTGTGTCTGACGCCCGGACCCTTCTTCCACTGTACCAGCCTGGCCTTCTCCTAGGCGGATCTGCTTCCTCCTCCAACACCCACACGCACCCTCACGTTCACACGCACGTTCACACCTGTGCACGCACACACAGTGTGTGCAGAGCCTCCTGTCCTCTAGGGAGGCGTAGGGCTWGTGATGAAGTATCAGAGAAAATCCAAGGGAGAAGTGATTACTTTCTAAGGTCAGATCATTCCCCTTTTCAACCAAAGAGCTGACAAATCACACGTCGCTATGGATGAATTACAAAGCCAACCAGAGTCGTATTGAGGTTTTCTCATGTCTGTCCTCCCGCGCAGGGTGGCCCCCTATGCAGTTGGGCTGAGGATGCTCAAAGAGCATTTAGGCGGCTGCACAGATGGAGCAGGTGTCCTCTGCCTGCCTGGCCGGATGCTTGCTGGCCACTCTGGGACTGTGGCCCCACGCTCCCATCTCCTTGCCGTGACAGCCCTCAGAGCTGAGCCGGTGTCCAGGGCTTGCTCTGCCAGTGTTCAGGCCAGCAAGGGCACTTTCCTCAGCAGCACCGGAGTGTCCCCGAGCCACAGCTGTGCTGCCGCAGCTGAGAGGATGTCTCCTGGGGTGCTGGCTCCCAGCAGCCTCTGCTCCTCTTCGGCTCTGAGCTCTGAGCTAAGCTTCCCTTCCTGGGGACTTCATGTTAATAAGCTGGCCCATGCCACTGCCATCCTGTGTCTTCTCAGAGTCTAACTTGCCTGAGAGGAACACTTTTTGTGTGTGTGTTGGGGGGGAACTGCACTGTCACACTTGAGGTCTRAAGTCTTCAGGAAACTCAGAGGACTTGAAGGTCAGCTACCGACCTCTGTCCCTGCTGCCAGTTCAACCATTTTGCTGTGCTGCTTCCAGCATGGTCATTTAACAGGCAGTTCACTTATGCCGTGTCCCTTAAGGTCCTTCTGTGTGGCTCTCGGGGTGAGGGAAACATGCARTATCGCAGCCTCTTCTCTGGACTCCAGCCTTGTGGGCAGTAGGTGTGCTCCTTTGGAGCTGGAACAAATCTCACCTTGTTCCATTCCCAAGCAGTGGGCACTGGGTGACAGAAGGATCGGATTGTCTAGTTATCTGGGCTGCTTCTGACTGTGTCTAAAGGCCTCCAGGGAAGGAGAATGTCCCACCCCTTGTATTCCTGTGGCCAGTTTCACAAGCCCTGACACTTGGGCAGGGTGTCTTTGCAGGGATCAGAGGGACCTGGTATTGACCGAGTTGTGACTATTGAYCAGTCTTCTGTGCTGTTTTACTTCTCACCAGCAGGAAACTGGGTCTGTCAGAGGTTGGGATATGATCTGGACACAGCTGGTGAGGAGCAGGTCCCAGGACCCATGGGAGGGAAATATTTGAGGTTTATCTTCACAGTTTAACTTTGGATCCAGTTTCCTAATCAGTTTGTTGTTGACTCATGCTAAAGATTTTCTGTCCCACTTCCTATGCCCAAATGGAGGAATTGTACCACCAAGTTTCTCCTCTGGCTTCCTGGTGTTGAGATCATGCTCTCAGCCTTTCCTCTCTGCATGAAGCCATCCATGCGTGCATCCACCCATTCCATAAACATGAAACCAGTGACTCTGTCACTGTGCTAATGACTAAAATATGACCAGAACATTCTCCATGTCCTGAAGAAGACAGGCGCATAAGTAGACCTGCTTTGCTATGTGAGAATCACATGTGCTGTGCTTCAGAGCTGACCCCATGCTGTCTCCAAGACATTTGTCACTATCTGCTAAGTTGAACTCGGACMCCTGGGAAAGCCCGGCAGCAGAACGTGTGACCCTGCAGCTCACTCAGGRTCCCACTGGCCCCTTGGTTCATGGCTTTCTTCTGCAGTTTGGCCATGAGCTTCCTCACTGAGCACTGAGTTAATGTGTCCCGTGAAGCTCTCCCTCCTCATGTCCCTTTCCTCTAGGGACAGCCTCTAGGCCTAAATTGGCTGCATCTTAGCAGAATCGAAATGTAAGGAGCTGTCAAACTTTGTTTCATTTCCTGGAYTGTCTGAGAACCAGGTCTGCACCAACCTAGACTTAGGGACACTGTGCTGAGTGTAGCATGGCATTTGCTCCATTTCAGGGACCAAAGAATGTAAAAATGAAAAAGAGGAGGAGCTGAGAAGGGCAGCGCAGAGGCGGAGCAGCACCTGGGTGATGGTGTGGAAGGCCCTCTTTGTAAACTGAGAACACGCTCCTAGATCAGAATTTTTGAAGGCTTAAGCATGTCACTTCTATAGTAATGCTCTCTTCTCCTAACCCGTCCAAGCTGAAGGAAGGTTTCTTTGGATGGGCTAGAGGTATCTCCTAACTGGATTTTACTTCTTCATCAAACACTCTTGCATGCATTGACTTGGTACAGACCCATCAAGACATCAGTCTCATTTACATGGCAGTGGTGTGAATGATAACAATGCTTACACACATGTTATGATTATGTCTGCAAAGAACTGAGACRCATGTGCTTTGGGACTTACAAGTAGGTCTTGCTTTTTGATAGGTGCCTGCAAAATATTGACACACTTGGGCATTTGTGGCTCAAGATGAATCTTATTCCTTGAGRGTTACCCTGCTTGCTTTTTTTGTTTGATGAGGAATGTGTTCCAAGACATATAGCCTTAAAAAATTATATTTCTTCTTCCTTGCTTGACTCATTCCACAAGCATGTGGCTGTGTCATTCCTGCCAAATGGACGTCAAGTATGCTGTTGGTCACTAGACAAACAGATGCGAATATACCAGTTAAACTAGTACTGCCTTAAAAATGACTAAGTCACATGGCATCTCCAAATTTACATGAACCCATTATGCACATGTCTGGTTTGTCTTTTCAAAAATAACTTACCTCATTTCAAAAAGAATTGAAGTTGTTTAGTAAAAAGAAAGTTTTCAATAAAATAATGATATAATTAGTCCTCAAAGACAGGGCAGGGAAATRTAAGTTTAGATAGAAAAAATCACTAACAGCAAAAAAATGAGTTGAAAGGTCTAACATGATATGAAATTTCTCCTTAATTCCTGATAATGAGATAGATAAAGAGAGACATAAGCTACAACTCTCAGAATTAGGTAGAAGGCAGCATGCTGGAGCTACCTAATAACAAAATCGCTCTGCTTGCGACATTGTGTGACAAGGGGTGTAGATGGGCAGTGACTTCTTCAATGCCCTCGTTGGCTAGTGTGACTTGACTTTCTGGCCTAAACACTCGTGTGCAGATCCCCCACACCCTACAGGGGTAGAGTTCATAAGTCTACTTTATTTTCAGTGATTCGGAAATTTGAGAAGGCTCCAGATTCGAAGGTGATCTTTAATACCAATGCTCCTGTGATGGTCAAGTCCAAAGTTCCTGGTTCTGAACCCTCACTGATGCAGTGCTTGGCAGGTAAGGGGAGACGGGGAGAGAGGCACGGGGTAAATGGTGTGGCAATATGCTCTGCTGATGTTGGCAAGACAAACCAGAGCAAAGCAGTACTAGAATGAGAACATACAACTGACCAAAAACATTAAGAACCAACTGGCCTCTACTAACTAGAATTATCTACTGACTGCCAAGAGTTATTCTTGGAAGAGAAATAAGTGAACTTTGTTAATTGTAGAGCTACTTGTCCAGGTTGGGACATGTATCTGTCTCTGGAGAGTTAGAGAGTTAGTAACACCAGTTATAGTTTATTGAGCTTGCATGTTTCCAAGGATGACCTCCTAATCCTGTTCTCACCCATAAAGGAACCATTACATCCCTAGAAAGAGAGGAGAAAAACAGGCACTGGGAGCAGAAGTGATTTGYTTGTCATACAGAGTTAGCAAGTGACAGAACCTGCATCCCAGTCTGGGCTGATGGAGGTGAAAGCCTGCCATCAGCCACGGCCTTTCCCTCTTCTGGGATCGCACCTAGTTTAGTTGTTGAATACTTAACTCCCTGATAGGACTCTGTTTAGGATATTTGCTCTGATATGATAAGCACAATCTACTGTTGGTATCACAGACACAGCACAAAGCATGAAATAGAAGCTGAAAAAAATGTTTGTGGAATGAGTGGTGTTTATAGGGCCTGGAGGGACACCACATGCTGGTTGTGGTGCTTGTAGGGACGGGAGGGCAGAGCCAAGAGGAAAGCAGTAGACGGCAGGCGCTGGCACTGACTGCAGGAGCTGGCTGGCCAAGCAGTCTTGTCCTGAGCAGGGGCATCGTGCACATGGCAGTGCCCACACGCTGTGACACAGCTAGAATGAGCAGCAAAGCAGTGGCTGGGAGGAGAGAGGATGCGGAATCGTGTACGTSAAGGCAGGCAGAGGGGAAGGGTCCGCCTGTCAGTGCAGGAGATGGTCTATYCCGCCAGCCAGGCTCAGGTGCTGGAACGTGCCGACACGAGCAGGCCCCAATCTGAGCAGGACCACSGTGTCAGGAAGGTCTAGAAGACAGTGTTCCACCAGACCCAAGAGAGCAGGCAGCCCAAGACGGGTGGGGTCCAGGTGCCCAGGCTGGCGTAGTCTTCCTGGCTGCCATAGTGAGGCACCACAGACTGGAGCCCTGAAATGACCAGACTGATTTTCTCACAGTCGTGGAAACGAGAACTGAGAGCAAGGGTATGTCTTGCTCTCGGTTTCTCCTTGGCCCTTATCCTGTCCGTGTCTTTACATGGCTTCCCCTCTGCCTGGGTCTGGGTCCCAGTGTCCTTTCCTTGTAAGGACACTGGTCATATTGAATTAGGCCACCCTAATGATCTCATTTTACACTTAATTACCTCTTGAGGAACTTATCCCTAAATATAGTCACATTCTAGGGTCGGAACGTCAACGTATGAATGTGGGAGGGGGATGGGTGGACCCCATACCAAGCATCAAGAAGATTCTATGGAAGGTCAAAGGGCCATCCAAGAGGAAGGAAGCAGGCATGGTGACAGTGCTGTGCTGCGTGGAGGCTAGTGTTGGTGCAAGAACCGGAGCTGGGAAGAAGGCCAAGGACCCTGGAGAGCTGTAGCCTGATAGGGAGTATGAGGGGTAGCCTGGCAAGACAGCAGGTGACATCSTGCTCAACTGCCACAGCAGAGTGCTGATGGTTCTAGTACCGACTAGATTCTTCCTGCTGTCTTGAGCCACCTTGTTCTGGGCCTGAGGCCAGAAACTGTGTGCAGTGAGGATCAAGGTCACTCAGTTGAAAGAGCTAGGCCAGGGGCAGGTGGGCCAGGGTGAGGTGCTGTCTTTGGGTTCTGAGTGGGCCAGGCGGCCTGTGGGTATAAAGACACCTTGTGCTTCTTAGAGCCTGGTTCATGAGGACAAGGTAGCTCTACCACCCTGGGCKGGACAGAAAGCCCAGGAAACCCACCTTCACGCCCGAGGCTTGGCAGTGGGGCCAGAGCTTGTGAGCTGTCCTGCKGGTGAGTAGAATAGCACCCCAGACTCCAGATAGTGCTGTGCCTTGCCTCGAGACAGCAGGAGGACAGCATGGTGGGAGGAGCAGGGCATGGATGCAGGGTCCCTGGAATGCCGCCAACCACCGCCAGCYATGTGCCCTGCTGAGCATTGGCCTTTGTCCCGCATCTCCACAATTAGCTCTTACCAATGCTGGCACCCGTGTGGACAATACGCGGAAAGTGCCTGGTGATGACACAMTCATTTGTAAGTTGCTTTTTTGACAGTTAACTAATTTTTTTTCTCTAAAGCCTCTTATCCCTGATAAACCATTAGTTGCTATCATTATTCATGCATTTTACACAGTTGAACATGGCTCAAGTTTAAAGAACAATTTTAACTCCATTTATCCACTAACTTAACAAACTTCAGAGCCTTCTGTGTGCTGGGCAGCATCCTTCATACCTGTGACACAAGGTGAACAAAAGCAGCCAGTTGTCCCTGTACTCATCAGTCACAGGGCCTCCTGTGACAGGAAGGGCACTTGCTGAGAGCAGGTRGCCACACTGCACCATCAAATCCCCTGAGAGCCACCAGCCCTCAGAGCATAGCCCTGGACTTGGCTGTGACCTCAGTGGACACCTGGRCACAGGTCCTCAAGGGGGAATGGCAACTGGAGTGTCAGGAGCTTCCKGTAGACATGTGCAGTCGAGTACTGGGATATGAAGTCTGGCTCTACGYCTGGCAGCTTTGTGACCTGGGTTGAGGACCTGAACTTACCTGGTTATGGGCAGGGTTGGTGACTTGGTCTCCCAGGGAGCACCAGCAGGCACSTGAGTGCTGCGTCTGCAGCAAATGCCTCTTGCGGTGTGCACTTGGGCATGAGGGTACGTGTTTGGGTGCGCACTGTGGTATGGTGTCTGTCTGCGTATTTGGGAAGTGTGCTGGGGGGTGCTGTGTGTCTTTGGGCACATGTGGCAGGGGAGGGGACGAGTCTATCCGGCTCGACATCTCCTGAGAGCGGGCGGTGACTGGCTGTGTACTTGCAGACTGTGCGGAGGACCTGGCCTGCAGCTTCCTCGCAGTRCTCACAGTGGGCTCAGAGGTCTCCTGTGATTTCTATGGTTGGACAAGTGACAACTTTGCCTGCACAACTTCTGGTCAGGTGAGGAATGACAGCTGCAGGGTGGTGACGCTCCTTGTCTGTCCTGGGTCACATGATGTCAGTCTGAGAGCCCTCAGGGGATGGGAAGGGAGTGTTGGCAGCTGCTCCCGTGTTGCTTCTGTTCCTAAAGCCCTGATTGTGGGAAATTGAAGCGTAGGCCYAAGGCTGACTTAGGGTGAAGAGGTGTAAGGAGCAATGTCATTTCCTCAAGGGTCAGAAGATGCCCCCGCCGGGGGCATATACTCCCTGCTGCCCACCAGGTGGATGCCCTGGGTCATCGTGCAAAGCCCCAAGACCCTGGATGCCAGCAGTCCTTCCCAYTGCAGAAGTAAACATGATTACAGTTTGAAAGTTTAAGAAGCTAAATATTCACTAGAACCACATGAAATTCTATTTATTTAAATCAAATCTGGTAGAAAATTAGAAATGTTACATAGTACCCTCAAATTAGGATAGAAAGGTATCCAGTAAAAAGATAGACCCCTGCCCTAATTTCCTCTCTTGTAAGCCCATGTGAATCTATTTTGCTTTCCAGTTTCTTACAAATTCTTCCAGAAAATGTCTACATATTTTAAAGAATGTTTTTATTCATTTATATGCTCATATTTTGTAATTTTTTTACTTTGATTTTCTCACTAGATTTATCTTTCTGCATTTAAAAAATTAATCTTCCTCTTTTGAGGGGCAGCATACCAACCCACGCTGGATGTACATTCTCGATTTCACATGCCCCTAGTTCAGGACATGTAGGGGCAGTTTTGCAACATCACCAACACKGATGCATTGCCTGCCCTGTGCCCCTGTGTTAGAATGTGAGAATATATGTATAGGTTTCATCCTGGAAGGAGCATGGAGCTGGCCCCTGGGTTTTAGGGCCTTGAGCAGGGGTCTTCAAGTATGAGACAAAGAGAGGAGACAGGGAGAGACTTAGGTTTAAATCCCAGCTCCATTTATTGCTTGCTGCTACTTAGTCCCTTGGTAGCTCAGGTTCCTCATAGAATCTTGGATGGTAGTGTCCCTGTGATAGGACCATTGTGAGGA